AAAATTCCTAAATATATAAATACAGAATTTGTATATACTTACCCTATTTGTATATTCGCAAGCAAAATATACAAACCACAACCTTCATAGCAAGCAGAGCAATTGCTATGGAGCGCAATTATCAAAACTATAACTATAGAACCTTATAATGTATGTTATGTTTGTTGAAAACTTAATCCCGATTTAAGTGAGGCTTTAATCTTGGCTGGTCAAAGTAGTCACATTTATTAATTTCAAGGCTTGTTTCACACCCTTTTAGATTTTATAAACATTTAAGTTATTTATTTTTTTTTGGAATAAAAAGAACGAAGAAGGTGCAACATATCCGGTGTAATTTTATAAAGTAGGAGTTCGAATTAAGATAAAATATGTCAGTTTTTTTAATTTCATACTTGAACTATCACCAAAGATTTATCGAACCACACATCAACTATCAATTGTTCATTTTTTATATTCAGTTTTTAAAAATGAACAACTGATATTTAAAGTGTGTTTTAATAAACATTTAGTAATAGTTCCAACCAAATAACACACTTCTTGTAATATAGTGAAAAGAAAACCATGAAACTATATAAAGGTGCCAACAAAATCTAGGCAAAATCTCATGGAAGGTTTGTTAAATTATCTCTATCAATTAACTTCATTTTCTCACTTTTCCTTTTCCTTTCCGTGTCTTCTAATAAATCCTAAATTTACAAATTATTACTTAGTAGTTAGTAGTAGTATATATTACGTCCTTACTATTATTTTTTTTTATTTTTATTTTTTTTATTCGATGTTCGATATTTTGATTGGAGTTAAACTAAATCTGAAATCGTGTATTGCAGGATTCATTTCTATGAGTGTGCTTTCAACAAGATTTTTCATTCTTAGAAACTCAAATCAAGACCGACCTCTGATTAAGCGCAAAAATATCCAAAACCATTCCATCACACATCATGTTATCGTACTTAATACTCTTTTAAGTATTAGTCATAACTACTAATCAATTAAATCACCAAATTAGTTACTTTGAAGAAAAGTTTCCAATTCAATTCAATTAATGCCAAGACAGTTTCACAATTGATGTTTTTTACAGCTTTAAATTACTATATTATTTTATTTTTGCATCATATATATAACTGAATGAATTAATGAATGAAAAAATACTGCAAAAATATTGGACCACATAAATTTATCATTCACTCTACCTTCTTATTAAAGTTGAATAAAAAGAGTATGTATTAATTTATTAAATGACATAGCTGGTTTTGTATGGTCATAAATTGTAAAATGTTTGGAGCATTTTTTTGTTATACAAAGTAAATGTGATTGAATTATTATACCATGCTTTTTTACGTTAGTATACATTAAATGAAAATTGTTAGGTCATTTTATTTTTCAATGAAAAGAGAAAAAGGCATTTTTTTCAAGTGTTAAGCCAATTAATTTCATACAACGGATAAGAGTTGTGGCGGAGACGCGGAGTGGATAGAAAAATCTTTCGTCTTAATTAAATCAGATTTTTTATTCGAATTTAGAATATAATTTTTTTTTTGATAGGAAACAGTTCATTTTTAAATGAGACTTTTACCTAGTGTGTGTTAAAAATTAGTTAGGGCCCTCACATAAGTGTGGAAACAAAAAAAATATTCCTATAAAGAGTACTTTTTTACTTATTATTTCTCATTCGATGTCTGATATCTATATTAGAGTTTGATTAAATTCGAATTCGTATTGGGAAGTTCCATATGGGTGGTGAAGTGCTCCCTAACAAAGGTCACTCCATACCGGGAAAACTCGAACCTGAAATCTCTGCTTAAGAATGAAAGAGTACTTTTCACTCCACTACCATCCTTATCGGTGATTAAGAAGATTTATTTTCTTAACATCGATCATAATAAGAAAGTTATTAATAGAGTGTGTATTAATAATTTATTAAATGACATAGCTGGTTTTGCATGGTCATAATGTTGGAGCATCTGTTTGTCATATAAAGTATATTAATGGAATTAAATTATTATATTATACTGTTTATATACCATATGCTCCTTGACATTTTTACATTTAATGAAATTACTATGACTTTTCTAATTTGTTCATTTTATTTTTTTCACAACAAACAAACACATTTCATTAATGCTATCAGTTACTACTTTTTTTTTTCTATTCGATGTTTGATATCCATATTAGAGTTTAATTAAATTTGAATTTGCTTCGGGATATTTCATATTGAGGATAAAGCGCTCTCTGACTAAAATGATGGCATATCCAGGACGACTATGACTCAGTATGTTTTTGATTATTAAAATATTATCTCTAAATTTAAGTGACTGGAAATTAAGATTGTTTATTTTTCTCAATGTATAAACATGTGTAACTTATTTTTATTATAACTTATAAATATAAAAATTAAAAGTAACTAACTGTATATAAAAGTGTATTGATTTATTAAATGACAGCTGGTTTTGCATGGTCATAGTGTTTGGAACATTAGCTTGTCTCTTAAAAGAAATAAAAATAAATGGAGTGAATTATTATTACCATGCATTAAATGAAATTGTTAGGTCATATTAAAATGTTTTTTCATTTTATTTTTTTAAGTCAACTAATTTCATAATTCATATTTGATATAACTAGTTCGTTTTCTTTAACGGACCTATCCAATGTGAATATACATTAATGAATTAATTTCATAATTTATATTTGATATAACTAATACGTTTTCGTTAACAGATCTATCCAATGCGAATATGAATTAGCAAAAAAAAAGAATTATACTGCAAATATTTACTATAATTAGAATCTTCTTATATATCACAATAATGTTTTTGTTACATTATTTATTTTCTAACTAATGAGATCTCTTGATCTAAATCCTATTTACTTTTATGTTTTAAGTATTTATGTATCATTTCTATCTTAAAATACTTGCCATATAAGTCTAATAGTAATTATGGTCTTCAATATTTTTTCAACTTTATTCTTCTAATTAATGTGAGGTTATGGTGCATAAATACTAAATATTTAGTAACGAATCCAGTTTAGTAAGAGATGTAATAGAAAATTCATATTTGGTAAAAATCAGTTAGTTTGTCTCATATCTTATATTTATAATATAATTAAAAAATTACTTAGATAACATATTTATTGTGTGATCTCATAAGCAAATTCTAGGAAGAGAAAAGACATAAAATCACCATTGAAGTTGTTTTGAATTTTCAAAAAGACACCTTAATTTTGCGGGTGTCCTATTACCCCATTGAACAACTTCACAATAGTATGTATACCCCATTTTTCACCCAGTACCACTTATACAAAAATATTTATAAGTCACGTACTAATAGTCACTTGACACGTGTTAAAAGTAATTTTTAATTATTTTTTATTAGATTTCTTTGCTTTTCTTTTTCTTTTTCCTTTTTTTTTCTTATGTTTCTCTTTCTTCTTCGCTTCAATCTCTGTTCTTAGCTTCTGCCATTCCTTTCGTCACGAAGAACAATCGCCAAACCCGATGTGGCAGGACGAAATTTCCCGGCAGCATTACTAATTATTTATCAAATTACCACCAATTAATTTATTTATGAAAATAAATATCGTCAAATAATCAAAATCTAAATACTTAAAATATCACCAAGTCAAAATCTGACATTTAAATCACCTCCTTCTCCAACTTCTTACTCCCAAATCGAGTTTTTCATAGTTTCACTATTCCCAAATCCCAAACCTGATTTGCAAGAGGAATAAAATCACTAAACAAATTTGTTTTTCAAAAAAAAAAAATAGAATATGAATGAACAGAATAACATTAGTTTTTAAAAAAATGAAGGAAGACATAGATGCCCAAGAAATATGAGTAAGCTAATGATGGTAGGGAAGATGAGAAAAAAAGATTTGAAAATTAAAAAACTATTTCTAATAAAAGCTTAAAAAAGTTTTAATACATGGGTTTTATATTTTTTCAAAATAAGTCAAATTGGGAGTGCCAAATGACAATTTTACGTAGGTCTAAAGTTGTATGAGCAGTCCTTCACGCGCTCAAATTTCGTGACAACACGAGTGGTGTTAAAATTAGTCAAAAGGGTATATTTATTGTGGATTTAGATTGTTTCGTGGGGTAATAGGACACCAATAAAGTTAAAGTGTCTTTTTGAAAATTCGAAATAACTTCAGTGGTGACTTTATGTCTTTTCTCTTCTAGGAAAGATAAACTATATGCGATCTTGTTCTTACTTCATAGAAATAAAGAGGTTATTTTTAAAAGATCCTCGAGTAACACCATCAATGTAGTTAATAATATAATAATCTATCAATAATTTTGTAAATAAAATTATTATAATTCAAAACTCATAAACTTAAAATCTTATATTCATGATCTCTTATAAACATGACTATAACTTTAAGAGAAAATACACATTTGACCACTCGATTAGAATTATTTATATTTGTTAGTTATAAGTCATTTCTATCAACAACAACAATAACATATCTATTATGATTCCACAAGTGAAGTCTACCTCGTGAAGATAAAGCGAATGTTTTCAATAAACCTTCGACTTAAATAAAATATATCAAAAAATACATTAATGAAGGAACAATAACAATAACAAATAATACCATAATCACAATTTACAGTAAAGAAAACAATATGTAGAAAACTAGACCACACTCAATTACTAACCTTCTTTTATATTTCACGACCTATTTTTGTATTTTTATAATTATATCCTCAATAAGCTGAAAACGAATATTTTGACATTATAACTAACCTAAAAACGTTACAAGTAAGGTCAATGTCAAAAAAATAAAAAGAGAAACTTTTTTGTGAACAAATAAACTGTCCATGTATATCTATCACAAACATGAATGCATTAATTACAATCTACCATAGCCTTCAATTTTTTCACCTATTTCTTGAGAGAGACCCCAATTTTATCTCACTAAAAAATTAAAATAAAAAAAAACACTTTTTCCCCTCTTTATAAAAGACTGCTGACAATGTTAACATATCATGGTTTTGCAGACCAAATTTCAAGAAAAATAGAAAAAATAAATAAAAATTTTGTTTTTGTTTTTAGAATTGTTTGGTTGGTGGTGGGTATTGGATCCAATGTCACCAAGTAAATGTTTTTAGTTATCCAATGTGTTTTTCTTTTTAAAATTCAGCAAAAAAAAAAGTGTATTTTATTAGACACACAAATCATTGTTTTTAGAAGCATTTTTGGGTGTCTCTGCAATCTCTGAGGTCTGTCATGTGAAGTGTAGGGAAAAATAATTCAAGAAACCAAAACCCCAAGTTTTGAATTTCTTTATTTTATTATATGGTATTTTTTTTGTAATTTTTTTGGGTTTTGGGGTTTTATGAAAAGTGAAAGTAGTAGTAAAGAGTGAAAAAAAGGGTAGTGATGGTGATGAGGAAGTTCAATAAATTGAGTTTGTTTTGGAGTTGTTGATTTTATAGTTTTGTGGTCAAAGTTTTTGTTTGTCAATTGATGATAATGACACTAATTGGTAGATCTGAAGATTCTTGTGTTGATAGTGATCTTGTTAAAACTTTTATAGACAGAAAGGAAAATGTCTTTTGGATCTTTTACATTTCAAGATTTAATCATCAAATAAGAAAATACTCTACTTTTGTCATATGAAAATCCAAAAAAAAAAAAAAACTTCATTTTTAATGAACTTTCTTGTTTCCATTCATCAATGGTGACACCCCAACCAAATCAAGAATCCATTTTTTTTCTAGGTTTCTAGTAGATCCCTTTAGTGGCAAGACTCCATTTTTAATTCTGCATATTAAACTTTGTAGTTTGGTGACACCCAACCAAATCAAGACTCCATTTTTAGCTCTGCATTTTGAACTTTCTAGTTTCCCATTCATCAATGGTGACACCCAACCAAATCAAGAATCCATTTTTGCAGACCCCTTTAGTCTCAAAACTCCATTTTTAACTCTGCACTTTGGACTTTCTTGCTTCCCATTCATCCATGGTGACACCCAACCAAATCAAGAATCCATTTTTGCAGAGACCCCTTTAGTCTCAAGACTCCATTTTTAGCTCTGCATTAGATCCCTTTAGTGTTAAGACTCCATTTTTAGCTCTGCAGTAGATCCCTTTAGAGTCAAGACTCCATTTTTATCTCTGTAAGTTGAGTATTTTAGTGTCAAGACTCCATTTTTAGCTCTGTATTGAGCATTTCAGTGCTCAAAAATTGTCAAGTTCAATGAAAATCAAAAACCCCTTTTTCCTCTAGAATTGAACAACTTAATGCTCAATCATTCAACAATGGAAATGTCAATTTCAATGGAAATCAAGAACCCAGTTTTGTTCTTAAGGTACTGTTCTAGTCACAAATTCTTGTTTTTCATTTTCTCAATATTTTCCATAGTTTTCCCACTTGTAAGATCAGATGATGCTGAAGCTCTTTTAGCATTGAAATCCACAATAGACCCCTCAAATTTTCTTGATTGGAAAAAAGGAACTGATTTTTGCCAATGGCAAGGTGTTAAAGAATGCATGAAAGGTAGAGTTACTAAGCTTGTTGTTGAAAATCTCAATTTGAGTGGTTTATTGGACCAAAATGCTCTCAATCAACTAGATCAATTACGAGTTTTAAGCCTCAAAGAAAACTCCATTTCCGGCCAAATCCCAAACCTTGCCGAACTTTCCAATCTGAAATCCCTTTTCCTCAACAACAACAACTTTTCCGGTGAGTTTCCGGCTACCATTACCCTCCTCCACCGTATCAAAGTTGTGGTTCTCGCCGGAAACAAACTCTCCGGTGACATTCCTCCGGCCTTAACAAATCTATCCCGGTTGTATGTTCTTTATCTAGAAGACAATCACTTCACCGGAGAAATCCCACCGTTGAATCAGCTCAGTTTAAGGTTCTTTAATGTGTCAAAGAATCAACTTTCTGGTGAAATCCCGAATACTCCGGCGTTATCTCGGTTCAATGAATCATCTTTCGCCGGAAATGTCAAATTGTGCGGAGTACAACTGCATAATAACTGTCCTTCAACTAGTCCATCGTATCCCATCATTCCAGAAGATGTATCTCATCATAAAAAAAGCAAAAAGCTTATCATCATCATTGTCCCAGTGGTCGCTGGAATCTTGATCCTCTGTGTTTTGATGGCGATTTTTATAGCATGTGTTCGAAAACGAAGAAGAAAAACTCAAGATGGAAAGAGTAAAGGAGTTGAAGCCGGTGGAGGCGGGGGAGGGGGAGGGGAAGAAGAGGGGACTAGTCGCGGTGGCAATGGCAGTGGTGGTGGTGGTGGCAGGGATGGTAATAATGGTGGAAAAGAAGGGGCATTTTCATGGGATCAAGGAAGTGGAGGACTAGGGACATTGGTGTTTTGTGGACCAGGTGATCAACAAATGAATTACACCTTAGAGGATTTGTTGAAAGCATCAGCCGAGACATTAGGGAGGGGTATAATAGGAAGTACATATAAAGCCGTGATGGAATCCGGCTACATTGTGACGGTGAAGCGGTTGAGGGATTCGAGGTTTCCGAGGTTAGAGGAATTCCGGAGGCATGTGGAGATTATTGGTAGGCTAAGACATCCTAACTTGGTCCCACTCCGAGCATATTTTCAAGCTAAGGAAGAACGTTTGCTCGTTTATGATTATTTCCCTAATGGCAGCCTCTTCTCCCTCGTTCATGGTATGTATTCCGTCATTCATTTATTTATTTATAGTATATTTTGCTTTTATCCGTTTTTGTGTACTGAACTCTCGTGAAGGAGGAAAAAACAGGTATAGTTGAACTCATGAATAGTGAAAGGAAGTTAAAAAGGGATAGATTTGGCGGAGTGAACTTGCACTTGAGTGGTATAAGGTGGAATAAGATAAGGGTGAGGTAACTTATTTACGTCTAGTATATGCATCGATTCAATAGATGCATTACATGTGTTTTTTTACTAAATTAGTTATCGAATAGTTTATCCTCTCTTGAGGTTAAACTAGTTTAGTTTTGTGCAAATACCAAGTGGGGACAAATTCTTTTTCATGAGATCACTAGTTTATAACTCAATCTCTCGAAGATTCGGCTCCTTTATTGACATGAGTCATTTTCTTATTTTGAATTCAAATTTGTTACCTCTTTATGCTTGGCTGTTTTGTGGTGGAGCATTGGAGGACTTTAGTGTCACTTTATTTTCCTATTTTTTTGTGTTTATATTTGTGTACTTTGCACATTTTCCTTGAATTGTTTATACTTTTTAATATGTTTCTTTATCTTCTTCAGTATTCTGTCCCTTCTTATTTTGTTTTTTTGTTATTTTTGAATAATTTCCATATAATTGGTTTGGTAGTGTATCACTTTCTGGTCTCTCCTGTGGGTTCTGTTTGGTGATGGTGGGGAAGAGAGGGCCAACAAAGGAAGCTTGTAGGAGCCAACAAAGAATTGAGATAGCTGGCCAAGTAGGACAAATATGTAAATTTGTAAAGGAAGTTCCAAACTTGCTTTGGTATACTGATGTGAAGATTATAGAAAAATATTGTTTAAATAATTAAGTTAAAAAAAATGAATAATCAAATAAGTAAACTCTTCTCATCTTGTTCTCTACGACTACGGATGCTATACGAAAAGAAGATAAGGAACAAAAGGGGAGTATAGTTATATATTGGCCTTTTGGAATCTTACAAAGGATGATATTTCGTTCAAATGAATTGTGAAAAAAGATGTTTAGTGTGTTTTTGCATTATTTTGTTGTTGTTACTGTTCCTTTTATGAATGCTTTGTGCTTTCCTTATTATTTGCCATATTTCTTCAATGTCATTTTCCCTTTCATAACTACTTTGTTTAGCTGCACAAGAGCCTAGGATCCTTCGGAAACAACCTTTCTATCTCAACGAGGTAAGGTCGCGTATACTCTACCCTCTCTAGATCCCACTTGTGGGATTTCACTTTGTTGTTGTTGGATTGTGAAAAAGATGGCCCTCTGGGAGGAGGAAACTCAAATTAGGAATCAAAACAATGATGTCACCGCTACACTCGCATATTTTGGCCTTATCATTTATTGCATAGAGCCAAAAAAGTTGTCCACCATATATGGAGATAAGGCATGATACTTTGAAATTAGAAAGACCCTGCATATTGCTCAAATTTGCATACGTAAGAGCTTCTTTGCCTTGTGCTGATTTCAGTACTTCTCTGGTAAGGTGTTAATCGTTAAATTGACCAGTGAGCTTCCAAAGATACCTGGAAAAATCAACATTTTCCTTCTGATTCAAAAAGAACAACAACAACAACGTACCTAGTGTAGTCCCACAACTACGGTCTGGGGAGGGTGGTGTGTACGCAGAAAAACAGAATTTTTCTGACACTAGTCACTAGCGATTAGAAGTTCCATTGCTATTTATAAAGTTTCATAATTGTCTGTACTATTTAGCTTTTAACATCTGCTCAACATCTCTTGTTCTCTCCACATTATATCTTGTGATATAGTTTGAGATGTTCTAAATTTGATTTGTTCCTAGTAAACTGAAGTTGCACCTACGTTGTATTCCAGAGTGTGTTCAATATGATATTTACTTTTCTTCTATTTAGGGAAACTAGAATGCAATACACCATTGACAAGAACAAAAAAGTTCAATATCATATAAAACTATTGTCAACCGACATGTTGAACTCCGAGATCCCTACATGTAAGTATAGCAAATTGGGTAATAATCAAGAATAAGGTAGTCTAGATGCTAGTCTTTTCTTCCAAGTAAAGTTGTGGTGATGCAGTGAAAGGCATTGAAAATGAGTTGCTTTGTTAGGCCATTAGACCATTTCAGGCACTAAATCACCTATGGCGGAATCACAGAGCAAAAGGCACACCGAAGTTTATTTTTGGAATAAGGACAACGTGGAAGGTGCTATGCAACAACAACAACATACTCGGTGTAATCACACAAAGTGGGGTAAAGAGGTGGTTACAATAGACCCTCGGTTCGAGGAAAAAAAATTCAAAGCAGTTCGGATGGAAGGTGATTTATGCGTCTAGCAATTGTATACGCCGTATGCAAGTACCACCTCAAATAGTGTGTTACCTTTCATGTGGTCTTATCTTGTTACTAGTCATTGTAAGACCACATCTGATGTTTAATACATGGGGGTGCCAATCGAATATTTGAAGAGAACATATTCAAAGTTAGCCGGGACTCTCTTATTTTCATGTATCTGGACAACCAATATGTTTTGTTATTCAAAAAATATTCCAGATGATAACTAAGCTATATTTTTACAATTTGCTAACTTTTTCAGGGACAAGGGCTAATAGTGGTTCAAAGCCTCTTCACTGGACTTCCTGTCTCAAAATTGCAGAGGATGTGGCTACTGGATTGCTTCATATCCATCAGAACCCTGGTCTGACTCATGGAAACTTGAAATCATCAAATGTACTCTTGGGGGCCGACTTTGAGTCGTGTCTTACAGATTATGGCCTCATGCCATTTAGGAATCTAGATTCTCCTGAGGAATCAGGTGCTTCTTCCCTCTTCTATAGAGCTCCTGAGTGTCGTGACATTCGAAGGCCACTTACCCATCAGGCCGATGTCTATAGCTTTGGTGTCCTCCTATTGGAGCTCCTCACGGGAAAGACTCCATTTCAAGATCTTGTTCAAGAACACGGATCAGACATACCGAGGTGGGTGAAATCTGTTCGAGAAGAAGAAACTGAATCAGGTGATGAACCTGTTTCTAGTAATGAAGCCTCGGAAGAGAAACTCGGTGCTCTCTTAAACGTAGCTATGGCTTGTGTTTCACTTGTACCCGAGAATCGACCCACAATGAAGGATGTTTTGAGGATGATCCGGGATGCTAGAGCAGAAGCTCAAGGGTCCTCCAATAGCAGTGACCATTCACCAGGAAGATGGTCAGATACTGTCCAAAGCTTGCCAAGAGATGAACATTTGAGCATATGAGTTTGTACTATACTTATGGAGGCCCCGAATAACGTGTCTTGATTCTTTTGGAAGGCAGAAGTTACTTCGTAAGTTAAGCATCATCGATGTATCTGAGTTCTCAGAGATTTGTTGATTCAGTTCTTGTAAAGTCTCAAGGGCTTTCTACTTTTCTTGTTTTTCTAGGTTTAGTTGTTTGTATGTAGGAGATTTGCTTTTATACCACTTGGATTGACATTCACTAGTTGATGATACATTCCTGATTCAAAAGTTGTCATTGTGTTTTGTGAGAGATGTAATTGTAATTGAGGTTCCAACACTTCTTTAACATAGTTTCTTATTCTAGTGGTAAGAGTGTATCACGTGATGTGTGGATTAGGAGTACGACAACCATTCAAACCTTGCCCTAGACAAAAATATGATTGCTACTTTCTTGACTTGGGGCATTACATTTCGGATAACGTAATAAAAAGTCTTTTTCTACTGTCGTTAGTCTGATTTGCTTTAGAAGTAAGCAAGCAATATGATATTTAAGTGGAAAAGAATAAAGAGATGAATTAATTATCCGTCGAGTTTCAAAACACTGGTCGTCGCAAATTTCTCAATTGGAGTGTCAAGAGCTTCAAATTCAATGCATCTTTTGATTACTACCATCTAATTGAGTCTAACAACAACATATTCAGTGTAGTCTAACAAGGTGAGATCCGTAGAGGATAAAGTATATGCAAATCTTATTCATATTGCTATTATTGTTGGTACTAAGGGAGAAACAAGTATATATGAGGCGTCAAACTATCCTAAGCCCACCCCGCAGGATAGCGAGACATGCTCGATTAACTATTATCCTTCTACCCTGATTCACAATCTTCGGATCCTCTTATTTAGGATTATGTCCCGATTGAGTTGAAGATGCATCATATTTTGTCTAATCACTTCTCCCCAATTCTTCTTCAACCTACCTCTACCCCTCCTCGAACCTACCATCACCAACCTCTCTCACCTCCTCACTAGGACCTCTTCACATTCTCCAATCATCTCGACTCGCTTCCTCGTCTTGGTGACCATTTAAGTCACTCTTACCCTTGTCTCGTATGTCTTCATTCCTAATCTAATCACTCCTCTCCTCGTATGTCCACGCAACTTTTGCACCATCATCTTTTAAACAGTAAGTTCTTAACCGATCAACTTTTCAAATTTATTCAACTTATATTATGGACAAACAAGGGTTTGAACGTTGACTTTGCTTATATACTACATTCACATTAATGCTAAGTCATGCCTGGTGTGCTGTCTTATGTAGTTTTTTAATCACTGAGATTAGATTAGTAATTAAATTAAATATTATTTGTGTTCATATGATTTTAGCTCCAGTGAACGAGTAACACGTGGAAATAAGACAACAAATAATTCAATTGAATATTGATGTTATTATATTCCACGTGTTTCATAATATGAGTAGTTTTCTATTTGTCCTTTTTATAATTGAAAATGTCCAAACGTATCTTCACGCATACCTCAATTAGTTTCACGTGAAATACATTATTTCCCATCATTATATATAGTTTATGCTACCTTCACTAGCATATGTATAGATAATTTTATCTAATTAAGATTTCGATTAGTTCTACGAGATACATCTTATCTCTCCGTATCAAATAACTATGTCCACACGATGATTTATCATATGATCACTTAACTAATAGGAGTAGTTATTATCTCATGAAATCACTTTCATTATTGCAGAAAATTTGAATTAAGGAGAAATGTAATTTTTTTTTAGATAAATAATTATTAGTTGAGTGACAATATGAGAAATAAACATCTATGTCAACCATGACTTGGCCAAATCGAAAGAAATAGTTACTCTTTCTGTCCCAATTTATATGACTTACTTTCCTTTTCAGTCAGTCCAAAAAAAGTGACATATTTCTATATTAAGTAACAATTTAACTTTAAAATGACAATTTTACAATAAAGTGATATACTACACAAATATTTATCACTTATTTTAGACCACAACTTTCAAAAGTTTTCCTTTCTTTCTTAAACTCCATGTCGAGTCAAAGTAACTCATATAAAATGAAACGAAAAAGATAATATTTCTCTTTTTTTTGTCTCTACTGAAATCTAAGACATAATTCTCAACTACCCTATTGATCACGAAATGATACCATATTTTTTTTTTTTTTTTGTTGCTTCTGAGTTTGGTGGTAGTTATTACTTAGTAGTCAAGGACACTACAATGTGTGGAAAAATTGAGCAAGAGAACATGTGGCAGGATTCACATTAAATCCAACATTATAGAGATTTAAATCTAGGAGAAAAGTCAAAATATATCTTTAAATTATTTGAAATGATTCAGTCTTTTTTTGGAAAAATTTCTTTGGCCAGGGATGGTGATGGTGGTGAGTGAATATGTGAGACATAAAATAACATCTAAGATAATAAGTAGTATAAATATTTTTTATTTTCGATTCCGTAGGAGTGAGTTTTTATTTCTAAACATGATTTTACGTACTTTTTCTTACATAATTTTCTAAAATTAATTTTTTATATTAATAATAATATTGAAATTGTTTTACTAACCTAAGAGTGATATGATAAAAGAGATCAAATTCAGTTATACATGAATACTTTATAGTATTAGTTATTGTAACTTTAAGTCATCCCAAATTTAAGTTAAGGTCGGTATAATAGTTTGAAAGGAAGCAATAAGTATCGAGTTTCAAAACACTGGTCGTCGCAAATTTCTCAATTGGAGTGTCCAGAGCTTCAAATTCAATGCATCTTTTGATTACTACCATCTAATTGAGTCTAACAACAACAACATGTTCAGTGTAGTCTAATAAGGTGAGATCTGTAGAGGATAAAGTATATGCAAATCTTATTCATATTGCTATTATTGTTGGTACTAAGGGAGAAACAAGTATATATGAGGCGTCAAACTATCCTAAGCCCACCCCGCAGGATAGCGAGACATGCTCGATTAACTATTATCCTTCTACCCTGATTCACAATCTTCGGATCCTCTTATTTAGGATTATGTCCCGATTGAGTTGAAAATGCATCATATTTTGTCTAATCACTTCTCCCCAATTTTTCTTCAACCTACCTCTACCCCTCCTCGAACCTACCATCACCAACCTCTCTCACCTCCTCACTAGGACCTCTTCACATTCTCCAATCATCTCAACTCGCTTCCTCGTCTTGGTGACCACTTAAGTCACTCTTATCCTTGTCTCGTATGTTTTCATTCCTAATCTAATCACTCCTCTCCTCGTATGTCCACGCAACTTTTGCACCGTCATCTTTTAAACAATAAGTTCTTAACCGAACAACTTTCCAAATTTATTAAACTTATATTATGGACAAACAAGGGTTTGAACGTTGACTTTGCTTATATACTACATTCACATTAATGCTAAGTCATGCCTGGTGTGCTGTCTTATGTAGTTCTTTAATCACTGAGATTAGATTAGTAATTAAATTAAATACTATTTGTGTTCATATGACTTTAGCTCCAGTGAACGAGTAACACGTGGAAATAAGACAACAAATAATCCAATTGAATATTGATGTTATTATATTCCACGTGTTTCATAGTATGAGTAGTTTTCTATTCGTCCTTTTTATAATTGAAAATATCCAAACTCATTTTCGCGCATACCTCAATTAATTTCACGTGAAATACATTATTTCCCATCATTATATATAGTTTATGCTACCTTCACTAGCATATGTATAGATAATTTTATCTAATTAAGACTTCGATTAGTTCTACGAGATACATCTTATCTCCGCGTACCAAATAACTATGTCCACACGTTAATTTATCATATGATCACTTAACTAATTATTGAAGAAAAATTGAATTAAGGAGAAATATAACTTTTTTGAGATAAATAATTATTAGCTGAGTGACAATATGAGAAATAAACATCTATGTCAAACTTGGCCAAATCGAAAGAAATAGTTACTCTTTCCGTCCCAGTTTATATGACTTACTTTCCTTTTCAGTCAGTCCAAAAAAGTATGACATATTTTTATATCAAGTAACAATTTAACTTTAAAATGACAATTTTACTTTTATTGAAGTGATTTACAACCACACAAATATCTATCACTTATTTTATAGCACAACTTTCAAAAGTCTTCCTTTTTTTCTTAAACTCCATGTCGAGTCAAAGTAACTCATATAAAATGAAACCAAAAAAATAATATTTCTCTTTTTTTTGTCTCTACTGAAATCTAAGACATAATTCTCAACTAATCTATTGACCACGAGATGATACCATATTAATTTTTTTTTTGTTGCTTCTGAGCTTGGTGGTAGCTATTACTTAGTAGTCAAGGACACTACAATGTGTGGAAAAAATTGATCAAGAAAACATGTGGCAGGATTCACATTAAATCCAACATTATAGAGATTTTAATTTAATTTAAATCTTGGAGAAAAGCCTAAATATATCTTTAAATTATTTGAAATGATTCGGTCTTTTTTAAAAAAAAAATCTTTGGCCAGGGATGGTGATGGTGGTGGGTGAATATGTGAGACATAAAATAACATATAAGATAATAAGTAGTATAAATATTTTTTATTTTCGATTCTTCTAGGAGTGAGTTTTTATTTCTAAACATGATTTTACGTACTTTTTCTTACATAATTTTCTAAAATTATTTTTTTATATTAATAATAGTATTGAAATTGTTTTACTAATAAGAGTGATATGATAAAAAAAATCAAATTCAGTTATACTTGAATACTTTATATTAGTTATCGTAACTTTAAGTCATCTCAATTTAAGTTGAGGCCTGTATAATAGTTTGAAAGGAAACAATAAGTATTTAGTTGAAAAATCAATGCAAATAATTAAACTTTATGTAAAACATGAAATTGACATTATATAAAAATTGTCATTTGAAATAGTCAAATTAATCTCAACTCTTTATAACTAAGAACATTTGTCTCGAACTTTAAATTAAGAGCAACATTGCTCTATTTCCAATACTTCAATGCAAAATTCGACTATTTTTCTTTGTTATAGAGCAACTGCTAATAAGAAGGATATTATTAGGCCGTTTTGATGGATGGAGGACATTTGTTTAGCTAAAAAAACATAACGATGAGAGTACATTTGAATAAAAAAATAACTTACTTTGACTAGTTCAAGAATATATTTGACTCTTTCCGTTAAATCCAACATTATATAATTTTGCCTAATGTAGTTTAGATGACTTAATTAAGTTTTGGGAAAATTAAAAAAATTAAAGTGTATATTCAAAATAAATTTAACTTATTATATGTCGTTTTTTTAATGT